AGAAATCCATAAAAGCAAAGAAGACACCAATTCAACAGACCAAACCCAACAAGAGATGAACTCCTGGCCTGGGACGAAAGACAATGGATCTGTCATCCAGCCCTTCGCCAGCACACAGGGGGTTACCATAAACCATCATCCTCAGCCCATGCAGCCAAGCAGCGCCCCAGGGGGGTCTGGGGGGGCAAAAGAAGCCAAGATGCAGTTGGGGCTTCAGCCCTGCTGCTGCGGCTGCCATCTTAACTTTTTTGACCTGGGCACCCTCCTGACCTTGCCGCTGTTCTGAAGTGGGAAAGCATCAAAAGGGGCCCCCTCACTCCTGCCTGCTGCAACACCCACCCACCCCGACCAGCACTTCTGCTTTCTCTTCCCAGCCGATCTCCAGAAAGTGATGAACTGGGTTTACATAGCCGAGGGGGGGGGGGCCTGGGGGTCCCCCGCCCCCCCCCCCCGCCCACCCCTCTTGGCGCTTCTCCATCCTGAGCACAGAGTGGGCAGAAGACCAACAGGGCTGCCTCAACCTTCATAACACACTTTGTCTTCTGATGAGGGGCTGTTTATCCAAGCCGGTTTATCCAGAAGCCACACTGGGGTGGGGTTGGTTGCACAGGCCCCCTTGCCAAGGAGAGGGGGCTGGCTCCACAGACCCACCAAGGGGAAGGGGTGCAACCACGTGTCCTGCCTCCCCATCAGAGATGGACAAAATGGCCGTTTTCTCAGGGTTTCTCCAGGCCAGAGGTGCTAACTGCCCCCACCACTGCAAGTCAGGCGGAGGTTTGCAAAGGGATTTTCCTGCCTGTGCTCATCCCTCTGGCCTTTCTCCCCCCACCCCAGCCGTCCCGCCTCATCCTATCTGGGACCCCTTGGGGTGGGCCCTTCCTGAGGGAGGGTCACTGGGAGCGACGTTGATGTGAAAAGTGGCCCCCGGCTGGGAAATGGGAGCAGCCAGGCTGACAGTCCAGGTGGGATTCAAAGGAAGCCAAAAGATCTTTTGGAGGGACAGCCAAGTACACCCCCTCCCCTCCCAAGGACCCCTTGGGTCAAGGGCAAGGTGGGCCCACCCCAAGAGAGCCGCTGGCAGAGCCAGGAAGCCAGAGCTCCAGGGCAGAGAAGAGCAACAAAGAGGCAGGGGCTGCAGGCGCAGTGCCCCCCCCCCCAAAGAAAGAGCCACGGCTCAGACAGGGATGCCTCTTGATGCCACGGAGGGGCATTGGCTCCAGGGGCCCTGACAATCTGCTGGACGGCCCCAGGACTCCTGTGCCTTGGCCTGCCTTTCGTCGGAGTCCCGGGCAGTGAAGGGGGGCTTTTCTTTACGCCTCCCCACTTATGCTTTCTGCAAACAAGCGCATGCATGTCCTGAAGCACACTTCCTGGGAAGCATTGCCAAGCGAAATCCTTGGAATTCATTTGCAAATTGTCCAGATGCAGTGTCCCCCCCGCCCCCAATCCCCAAGAGCACAGAAGGAAACGGGGTCCAGGGCCCCAAAGCGCTTCTGAAAGGGAAGCCCACAATCCATGCGCCTCCCCCCCCCCCTCCGTCCTGAGCCAGCCCAGCCTCAAAAGGCTGCCTTTCTCCATTGGACTGAGCCCCAATTAATCTGCCTGCCCCAGGTTTGGGCTGGCAAGAGCCCAGAAGGAGCCGCACAGCTGCAACCGAGAAGCGGCCTCATCTCTGAGCAAAGCCGCTGCTGTCGGAAGACTGATGGGTCACCAAGGAGGGCTTTCTTTCGACAGGCTGGGTTTATTTAACACAAACTTCTAGGCAATGTAAACCATTTCTAGAGCTAGCAAAATACTTCCTGGATCTTCTTCCCACCTCCAACCCCATAGCATGCGCCTGTGGTGAACAAATGGAGAAACAACTGCCGTTGCCCCACAGGCAGGCAGGCAGGCAGGGGGACTGGCTGGAGGGTGGGAGGGGGCATCCGAGGGGGTTGCTTGTGCCCCTGGACAAAAGACTCTGGGGCCCTGGACGCCCCGAGGAACGAGGCCCTCCCTCCCTCCCTCCCTGCCCTGCACCCAACCCGCTAAAAGGGCCCAGGGGAGTGGGGGGGTCTGGGGCTTTGGACCCTCCGATGCAGCTCCCGACTGAGGGGCAAGCTCTGTCCTGGCTGGTGTAGAGCCTCACACCAGTTCCCTGCCTTCTTCTGCCAGAGCGAACAAGCAACAAGAGGAAACCACTCTCTCTCTCTCTCTCTCTCTCTCTCTCTCTCTCTCTCTCTCTCTCTCTCTCACACACACACACACACACACACACACACACACACACACACACACACAGAGTGTTTCTTGAGATGCCGAGGATGGAAGCAGCTCTCTTCCCAACTCTGCTTCTGAACAGGATTGTTTAGAAAAGTTGTCACTTCAGAGCGAGAAGGGAGCCCAGCGCCTGAGGGAAGCCAGTCGGCTCTTTTCTGCCTCCCTGTTTTTCTTTCCAGAAAGTGCGATCCGGCCTGGGTGGAAGTCTGGCCAGAGAGCCAGGACTCTCCATTAAAGGCTCCAGGGAGCTATAAATCACTTGTCAGGCCTGCCTGGGGAGGAGAAAGGAGGATCGGGGAGAGAGGCGGCAGGGACCCCAAGAAAAGGAGCCGGGGTGGGGAATCTAGCAATGAATCCCCTTTTTTCATCCTTTCCCACTTTTGTTTTGTAAATGTCCCCCAGATTCTCTCCAGGGATGTTTGAAAGAGGACGGTCCCACTTATCGCCACCACCAAAGACGGAGCTCTGCAGAGCAAAACCTGGGACTCTGCGAGGGGGGAGCCCCTGCAGCCCCCAGGAAGAGAAGAGTTCGACTCCCACCTGGCTCGGCTTGGATGATCCCAAGACCGCGTGACACCCCCCCCTGCCCCTGGCTGGACGCATCTTCCTCCTGGGACGCTTCCCTCCTCTGGAGGTCTGACACCAACTCAGCCCCCATTCCTAGTAAGCCCCCAGAGTCGGGGCCCCTTGAAAGAGAGGGCAGCTTTGCCTCTTCCGGTTCTAGCGTGCAGAAGGCCTGCCCACCTGGCTTCACCTTGCCTTACTTGCAGGAGCCTCTCCGCATGTGCTAAGTTATAATGCCAGGTGCCCCATCTGTCACGACCAACAGCCCGCAGGGGGAGGAGGATGCTGGGATTTGTAGTGCAGCCACCGGTCGGTCGCCAGCCTGCCCGCCCGAGAGGAGTGAGCAGAAGCCATGACTTCCTTCTGCATAAAACAAGCAGCCAGAAGCCTCAGGCCTGAGGGGAGGGCCCCAGGGCAGAGCGCTCCCCCCAAGAAAGAGGGCCTGGCACTCTGCTGGACCAGCGGCTCCACCTTCCGTCTGCCACCCGGGTGCCAGGGCAACCATCTTGCCCCTCTGCAGACGTCAATGGGGAGAAAGAGGTCAGAAGAAGAGGTGCTTCAAGACACTCGGGGAGATTCTGAGCTCCGGCCAAAGATCAGCGATGGAAAAAGGAGGGGAACACTAATGTTGTCCCCCTGCCAGTTAAAGCGAACAGTTCAATAGAAAGAACAACGGAAAGACAGAGTTGGGAGGGTCCTTGAAGGTCTTCTAGTCCAACCCAGGAAACCCTATAGCATTTCAGACAAAGGGGTTAAGCAAATGTGGTAGACATCGAAGGGAGGGTGTACCCACAGCCCTTCACCCCACTGAGCTCCAGAGACTTACAAGCTGCTTTTGCAAAGTTCACTGCAGCTCCACCCCACCTGAGCTCCACCTCTCACTGAGCTCCAGGCTTCCCTTCCCTGGAATCTGGTCAGTGGTTGACAAGGGATGTTAAAAAAAATGACTGCAAACAAACGAAGGGTTTATTTTTAAGATGAATGTGGATAATTGATCCAAATGATCTGCAAGGCTACATAAAGGCTTTTAAATCTGCTTAGCCTAGCTATTTCTTAATTTTTTTAAAAGAAGTGGTAAATGAATAAATAAATGCAGAAATTCAATTTGAAAGTAAAATGATATTTAGCAAATGGAAATAAAAACGCACCACATAACCACCCTATCTTTAGGCTGGTACCTCCCTTCAAGTGTGATCCATTGTTTTTTCAAGGTTGAAGCACTGGATCTCCCTTTAAAGCATTTCAGGATTAGCGAATGAGGAAAGTTTGACCTGGGTTATGATCTAATGGGAGCATCTCTTGCAAAATTTCACCCCGTTGAAATCGCCCTGAAACCTGTGCAAGGAATCTTCCTGAGGATTATGTCCAACATCACTGAGTAACAGAAACAGGAATTCACAGCCAGAAAGTTGCAAATTTCAACTGGCCAATAGAACCTGAAGTAATTGTATCTCAACCTTTGACAAATTCCAAGTCTGCCTCATGTGTAAATACATAAAACAAAGACTTGGAATCTCAGGATGGACCCTATTTAGTGCTGGAAAACAAGAAATGAGCCTTTCCCCCATCAAACAGTCCCAACTATTTATTTCCTTAAGAAGCAGCTCAGCAAAGGAGGACTCCATCCAAATTAGCCAGACTTGATTGGGTTGCATCTCCGACAGGAATGCTAACGGAAAAGCCGAGATGGATCTATTGAGCCGGTTTAAACAGAAAGCAAAACAAAACACTCACAGCTTTAGTTGAAAAAAACGAGGTTCGAACAAAGGAACACATAACTTCACCCAAACTCATCTGGAAGAACTGACATTTAGAAAGAAAGAGAGAAAGAAAGAAAGAAAGAAAGAAAGAAAGAAAGAAAGAAAGAAAGAAAGAAAGAAAGAAAGAAAAAGATTGTTAGAGAAAAAGAAAATTCTGATGTAGTAAGTTAAAAGGGAAGCTGGGAGACTGAAATGCAAAGGGGTCTTTTTCTCCTTTGTGTGTGTGCATGTGTGTGCAAACGACGGCAGCGTGGGTCTCCCTCTCGGCGCCTGTCACCCGGTCCACTGCTGGTGCTCAGGCTCTGGAGAAGCTCTGGAGGAAAGTGCAGAGGAGGAGGGGAAGGTCCCTCCGGAGGCTGCTCCCCTTTGCCAGCATCCAAAGGGCTTTCCAGGAAAGGAGGGAGGGAGGTCACTTACTTTGGTGTGCTTGATTTCCAGGTTGAGGGTCGGAGAAGGCAGCAAGTGCAGAGAAGCCATCAAGGCTGCCGGGTCCGCCTTCATTCCAGCAGGCACCTCAATTTTGCTGGAAGTCATCGCCTCTCCCGCCTCTCCCAGCGCAGCTCTGTCCCCGTTATCTGGCGCGGGATGAGGGGGACGGATGAGGGGTGGGGTGGGGAGAGACAGAGAGACGGGGGGGGGGGGCGGCGGCGGACTTTCTCGACGTGACTCCCCGTCCCCCAAGAGGAGTGCTGAAGACGCGGCTGCTCTCCTCGGCGCGTCTAGGCAGGTGTTAAGGCGGCCGCTTCTTATAGGAGCCGAGGGCAGGGCCAAAGAGGCCGGACCGTCCTACCTAGAACGGAGGCTCTCCGTTTACACGAGCCCCTCGGGGCCCCACCCACCCCGCCCAAGGCAGCAGGTCTTCCTCCCGGCTGGCAGTCAAGTCCAGAAGCGGAGGGCGAGGAGGGTGCAACGGGGCTCGGGGTGGCCAGGGAGGCGGGACGAGCAGGAGAGCGGGGAAAGGAGGACGCTCCCCCGGGACAATGAAAGGAGAATGAGCACCTCGGTCTCCCGTGCAGCGCAGCCGAAAGGCAGCCGGAGACCCGCAAGAGAGGCTGCAGGAGCGGAAGGGGCTCCAGGAGGAATTTGGGGATCGAATGAAGGCCTCGCTGCGAGCGGGGGCGGGCGGCCGGGGGGATGTCAGACCCTGACAATCTCTCCAGGCGTGCAACTGCGCTCTCAGTGTAGGTGGTGGCTGGGCCAAACTCTGGGGCAGCTTTCTACGGACCCCCCCTGGGCGCCTCCACCGAGGGAGTTCTGGAATTCAGCCTCAGTCTCCTCTCCGTAAAATGGGAACAAACGAGTTGGGAACAAGGAGAAACAGCTACGGCACAGACGGAGAAATAAATCCCTCTGAGCCTGAAGGCACAGAAAGGTGAACGCAGCTCTTCTCCCCTCGGTGCCCCCCCCACCCCCCGAAAGGGGGAAAAGACATCCTTGCCGAGTGTGCAGGCAGGCCCCCTGACCCTGGGCCGGGCTGGCTGGGTGCTCAGGGCGAGGGGGCCCCCTGCTCGAGGGCAACGGAGAAGGACAGAAGGGGGGAGCCTCTTGGCAGGGGGGGCAAAGGCCCAGACGGCGCCAGGATTGGGGTAAGGAGCCCTGCTCCTCGCCGCCCTTCTGCGGGGACCAAACGTGTCACCTCTGGCTTCGGGGGGGGGGGCAGCTGCAGAGAAGCGCCGGGATTCCTTCCCCCGGGGGGGGCGGGGGCTTCCCTTGAGAGCCGCCAAGCGGCGTCCAGTTTGCCGGCTCCCTGCGTGCAAAGAGAGAAAATCTCCCTCGTGGTCCCCGCCCCGTCGAAGGCTGCTGCCCGCCGGGGGTGCCCGCTTGTCAGAGAGCCGAAGGTCTTGGGGGCCACCGGCCCGGGCCTCGGAGGACGACCCTGGACGCAGCGCCACCCGCGGCATCTCCTGCGCACTTGCTGCCCCCTGCTGGGGGCGGATGGAAGTGACCTTTCTCTCCCGGCTGGCTGCGGAGCGAAGCGCGTTGCTCGGCGCCCTGGACTCGGCGGGTCGGGTGCCTCGCTCTGCGGGGCTCCCCAGCGTTTCCGCCGCCCGAGGGAGCCCCGGAGGACCAAGAGAAGAGGATCTGCAGAGGGCAGGAAGCGTCTTTCATTCACTTGCAAGGCGAAGGGATGGACGCCGCTGAGGAGGGAAAGATTCAGAGGACGTAGAAAGGAGACTCTGACAAAGAGTCCAATGACCCCCCCCCGCACCCCCGCTTGAAAGGCTGCCGACCTTGGAATGGCAGGTGGAGCTAGATCGGGCAATGCTCCTTTAGGCTTCGGCCTTCCAGCTCTGGGGATCTTCTCTCACCAATTCCCTTGCTGGCTTTCAAAGGCGACTTGGGATTTAATTGTAGGGCCAGGATAGATGACCCCTTCTGGCCTCCCTTCCACGCGTCCCGGGACACGTGTTAATTAAATGAACCTTGGGGTGATTTTAGAACCAGCCACCGTCTGAAAGGCCCCGCGAATTTCTCCCTTTGGCTGCCTGCAAATGGCAGCTGCGGGGATGGCGGGGGGTGGGGTGGGGGGGGTGGGGGGGGAGCCGGAGGCCCGGCTGGTCGGATGCTTCCGCGGCCCAAATATTCCTCCTCCTCCTCCTCCGGAACTTTCTTGACTCCGCCCGCCGGCACTGCCCTGCCAGCCTGGACGCGCCCCCCTTCCAGGCTCCGGGCTTGCTCGGGCAGGAACGGCTCCCGCGCCCCGCAGCTCCCGTTCTCCCGGCGCTTGTGGAGCCCTGGACGCACCGGACGCGCAAGGCCGGGCAGCTGCCGACAGAGGCCGCGCGGAGTCGGGCAACCCCTTGGGAGACCCAATCGCGGGGGGGGGGGGGGGCGGGCGTGCTGCCTCAGCAGAGGCTCCGGGCCTCTTTCCCCGCAGTCGGGCGGCAGGGGAGACCTTCTCCAAAGGGCGCCTCCGCCGAGGCTGAGCAGGCCCAGCAAAGCTCCTCCGGGCGGCCGGGTGGGGCGCCGGGACCCGAGCCCCCGCGAGCAAAGGGCTCCGCAGCCAGCACCATGGAGAGCTCCGCCGGTCTGGCTGCCCGGGATCCCTCGGGGGAGGCGGGAGGGAGGGAGGGAGGCGGCTGCCCCGTGGCCCCTCTCGGCCCCCCAGCCTTGGGTTGACATCTGGGCCCCCCTGCCTCTGCTGGAGAGAGGGGCCCAAGGGTCCCCCCCTCCTCCTCCTCCTCCTCTAGGGAGCAGCCCCTGCACCCCCACCCCCCAGGTCAGCCCAGGAGGCCATTTACCCTCCCCTCCCCCAGCGTCTCCAGGCCTTCTGGAAGTCCTGTCCCCACACCTTCCGATGGGAGGTTCCACTCCCCAGTTGCATGTCAGGATCTCAAGGAGGAGACCTGAGGAGGCCGAGCTGCCTTTGCAGCCCACGTCTTGGTTTCTTCTCCCCTCACTTATCAGTGTGTGTGCAAAAAAGCTCCCCTCCCCCGGGACACCAGAGCAAGAACGTAGGGAGGCGGCTGTTTGTGGAGCCCAGGATGGACCATTGGTAGTGCTGACCACGTCTCATGAGGCAGGGAGTCCCAGAGACCTGGGGTCAGAGAAAGCCCTGGTGCTTTTGCCTCCAGGGTGGACCAGGGCTGAAGACAACCTTCCCAGCCCTCACATGCCACGGCCATGACAGTCATGGCTACGCTACTGCTTGGAGATGCTACTGCCCTTATTTTCAGCTCTTCTTTGCCTCCCCCTCACTTGCCCCCCCCCCAAGAAATGCATCAAACCTGGAAATGGGGGGACCTTTCGGCTAATGGACGCTGCCTAACGAGCAGACGCCATTAAGCACATTCCTCCCTGAAAACCCCATTCTCCCCCTTAATTTTTTTTAATTTTTACCCTTTCGACCAAAGGAATAAGTCTTTGGTCTCATTAGGCCAAGTTACACATTCAATTAATGCCGCCTTAACGAATACAGGGGAGGCAGACAAGCCAGAGGGAGGAGGCAGGGCACAGCCAGCCCCCCCCGCCCCCCCTTATGCCATTGAGGGCCAGGCCTGGCCTCCCCTGTGAGGCCCCTCTCTGCCCAGGCCAGGCCAGAGGGAGGGGCCACACCACCCAGGGCCAGGAAAGTGGCCCGTTTCCCCTCTGGCAGCGGCGGCAGCAGCAGCAGCAGCGCCTGGCATGCAGGCTCGGGGCGGGGGGGTAGCTGTTTGGCCCTTTCCCCTGCAGAGCTGTTGTTCCAGGAAGGGAAAAGGGGGGGGAGGGGGTCAGCCAGGTGACGGGAAACGCAGCCGGGTCACAAAGGCCGGGCAGTGGATGTGCACAGGATGTTTCCTTTTGTTTCCTTTATCCCTCATGGCCGCTTCCTTTTACACCAGGGGCAAAATGCAAAATGGCACCAACGGAACAGGCTCTACAATATCTGCACTTCCATTGTGTCAAACGGGCAACCAAAGCCCTGCCCTCCCACCCCGTGCCCAAAAGAGAAGTTCCCAAGGAGGGCAGCAAATCGCGGCCCCTTCCGGCACACCAGGTGGGGACATGCCTGCAACCATGAGGTGGGAGCGCAGGACGGCAGAAGGACGGTCATCGAGCCCTGAGGGCGCAAAGGCTTCTTGGCAGCCCACCTGCCCCCACCTGCCCAGGCTTCCTTGGGTCTGCTTGGATTGGACCCCTGGCCTTGAGCCAACTAGGTGGGCGTCAGCAGCCCCCGTGCTGGAGCTGGAGCACTCCGGGCGAATTGTGGGGAGGGGCCAACGGACAGCAGACTCCACACTGGACTTCTTCACTGGTGAAGACAGTGGAAACAGGGACTTGCAGCCAGTCACGAGAAGCTGCTTTGCCTCCTTTCCAAGTAGGGAAAAGTCCCATTTCTGGAGCTGTTTATTTAGCCAAGAAAAATCAATGTTGATCAACGTAGTTATGAAACCATCTTTGTCACAAGGACATAGAGAGAGCATGGCTCCGCCCCTTCTCTGGATCTAGAATACAGGGTTAGTTGACAAAACCGTCGAGAGGAGCTCCAGGAACGAAAGGAGGCGAGGCAGTGCAGAATTCACCTACAGAACTCCCTGCCACAAGATCTAGCAATGGCTAAAAGAAGTGCGCCAACTGCTGTCAGGGAATCCGCTTCTGGGAGGGTTCAGACTGAAGGGTTCGTGCTTTGGGCCTAGAGAAGTGGGCCTGTTCTCACCAGGGCACGTGGAGGCAGCCTGCACCCCCAAGCCAGGTGTGGAACCTACGGCTCAGGTGTGTCTGAACACGCCTCTTGGCAGCCTCCCCACAAAAGGCTCTGCAGCAGCAGCCAATCGCCAACTGGCCTCTGGCAGGTATATAAAGAGCGGCTCCCCTTCTCCAATCTTCTCCGGCACCTTCACAGCTTTCAGCCCTCACAACCGGGGTGGGTGTGCTGTGTGTGTGTGTGTGCTACTGGTGCAATCAGCAACTGGCGGGCTTCTCCTGGCGGCAAATGAGGGGCTGACCTACCTTATCTCGGCCTGTTATAAATAGCCTGGCGCATGGCGAGAAGGATGGGCCCTCTTGAAGAGTGATCCGGGAAGGCAACAGGAGGCCCAGAAACCCCCAGGCTGGTCGGGGCGTCGCAGGAACCATTTGAGGAGCGAGCCAAAGTTCAAAAGGGGGCCAGAGGGACACGTCTGACGGCACATTTTCCCAGTCGGAACAAGCGGACGCCAGGATGACCAAGAAGGCAGGAAAGAGCCTGAAAGAAAAAGTGACCCTGAAGAACCACCTGCTGAAGGAAGCCCTGGCGGAACTCCTGGGGACCCTCATCTTGGTTGTAAGTATGGCCTCTCCCCTCCCCCCACAGGGGGGGCCTCCAAACAGGCGCAGGGAGGGGGGCTGGAAACACTGCTCAGAAATCAAAGTACACGGGCGTTATTGTGGCAGCTTGTTGGGTGGACACTGGTTTGGTCAGTTTTGTGAAGAAGACACACCCCCCCAGTCTGTTTCTACCCCCCCTCCCGCCTCCACCCGCTGCCCCGATCGCCTTGGGGCGCATCTGCTACTTGGAGGGCATATTCTCTCTGCATGCAGGCTGATGCCCAGGGCAAGATGCGATCAGGCGGGCAAAGCAGGAAGAGGGGGAGGGAATCGCAAGCGGGGGGGGGGGCACTGCCTCCAGGCCAGTTCCAGCTCTGGCATAAAACTCCGTCAGGAACTGCAACCCGCCACTCACAGCTCCTTGAGGGCCAACGCAGCTCCCCGTTTTTCTCAGGTCCATCGGCAACATATTCTTGCAGCCCAGAAGATCAACCATAACGTCCCCAGGGCTTCTGGGGCTCTGGCTGAACGGCTCGCTAGCCCACCGTCAGACAGCAGAAAGCGAGGCGGGCTGCTCCCCTGACCAGCCCCTCTCCTGCCTCGGCTCCCAGGCCCTGCCAGGCCCTGACAAAAGAGCAGCCAGGCCCTGTGCCCCTTGAGGTGCCCCTGGCCAAGGTCAGCCCAAGAGGCCGACAGGAGTTGCTCAGGGGTGCAGCTACAATCCAATCTGTGCAGGGCCCCCTGGGGCCTTGAGGAACCTTCTGGAGAACTTGCTCAAGACGGGACCCCAGCGGCTCCATGGGAGGGATGGAGTTGCACAGAGGCTGCAATGCGAGGCTTCTTGGAACAAAGAACGCTGGTCAGTCTAAGCTAATCCTGAGTTTTTTGATATAGGCAGACAGTTCATAGCTCTGCACATTTCTACATTTCACTTGACTCCTCCTCAAAGGAACCAGCCGAGCGCAGGGGAGCAGCCCTCCTCCTGTCGGCCCACCCTCTGACGCGCTTCCCGTTTTCATTGGGCTCTCATCCCAGAACTGGACAAGGCCACAGGCACGAAAGGGGGAAGCTGCAGGCTTGGTTCTGACCTTTGTTTAAAGGCGCTTATTTGCTCTACTCCCCTTTCAACCTTGCAGCTGGAGGTAGAGCGAGATGGGTGGGATCACAGCTGTGCCCTTAACCGGATCAAGGGGGAGGCCCCAGGTCCAGGCTGAGGGAGGCCCCTTGGGCCCGTGGTGAGCCTTGCTTCCCCCTGGAGCAAAACTAGGTCCTCAGAGACCCTCGCCTGGTGGTTTTATCAGGAGGGCTGACTTGCAGCTACGCCAGTGGCTAAGATGCATCTCTTGGGGCGACTTGTCTTTCCAAGCAGCCCCCTCCCCCCCCCACCCCTGCCAGCCTCACCCCACCCATTGGGGGGAGGCCTCCTCCTCCTCTGCTGCCTGGGACGGATGCAGGCCATGCTTGTGCAAAGTGCTTTGTAACCCTCCTTGCGCCTGTGAGGAATCCATGTTCGATTCCCCAAGCAGCACTGAGCCAGAACTGCCAGGTCAAGAGATGGCTTCGCGCTGGAAACTATGGACGGGGGGGGGCGGGGGGGCTGCTGCCCGTTGCAGTTCTTGCTCTGCCCAACCGATGCCCTCTTTCCTGCCTGGGGTCCTCAAAAGGCCAGAACTTAATTCTGCAGCCTTCAGAGTGGCCTCTTTGGGGAGCCGGTTTCCAGGCCAATCGTTTCCCAGATGTCTTCTTAGCTCTTTCCAGCACAGGTGACCCCCTAACGACCTGACCCCAAACAGGCACACCGGGGTGGCTGCTAGGTTAGCCAAGCAGAGGCCAGTTTATTTGCCGCCCCATGTCCAGGAGGGGAAAGGGGGTTGGGGAAACTTTCTGAGACAGAGAGAAAGGGCCCAGAGGGGATGGAGCGTCCCTGGGACTGGGGTCACCAGAAGGCCCCCAGACCCACGCCAGCTGTGGTGCTGGGTCTTGGCAGTTGGCGGGCAGAGTCTTCTCCCCACATGCTGGGCTGGAGGCTTAAGGCCCGTTCGACTGGGTGCCCCTTTGATGGCAGCTCCACACTTCGTTTGCTTCACACTTTCGGTGATTCACCCTTGGGAGGTTCTGTTTTAACTTGCTGTACAAGGCAACGTTCTCCTGGGCTCAGCTCCTCCTGCAGAGGGGCCCGTTGGTGAGAGCCAGCGGAGGGTGTGTGGGCGGAGGGCAGAGGAGGAGCAGATTTCATGCCTGCTTCATTTGATGCCCCTTTGCTGACAGCTTGGTGCCGCCAGGTGTTTTTTACCCATTGAAATCCTCAGTTTTGGCAATACCACCATTTGGAGAGTTCTGTTTTAACTTGTTTCACCAGGCGAATCAAGGCAGGAGAGGGAACGCAGCGCTGCCATGCCCAAAAGGAGCCCGACTCGGCCCTGCCAATGCTGAGGGGCTGCATCTACCCAAGACCCCATGGCTTGCTCCACGTCCACTTCCTTCTCCCCTCCCTGGGTTTCTCCCCGTCCCCCTCAGCAACCCCTTCTGTCGTGTGACTCCCTTTTGCTTGGTGCCCCCATCTCTGCCCTCTGGCCCATTCGAAGGCTGGCCCCGGGTTCAGTGAAGGGCAGGGACAGGAACTGCTGGGAAAAGAGGCTGCCAGCATGCGGCCCAGGGAGGGCTGTGAGAAATCGCTTCTTGCCCTTGGGAGCCCTGAGCCCTGAGCCCCAGGCCGGCTTGGCACCAGCTTTGATACAGTCAGGGTGGAATGCAGAGGCACAACTTTCCTTGGGAAGCCCGGAGGACACACGGGAAGGTCTGCCCAGGAGAGGTGGCTCAGGCGGCTGAAAGGAATTGTGCCCCCCCCCCCCCCCCCCCCCCCCCACCCACCCAGAGGACTAGGAAATTGCTCAAAAACTCTGGAAGATCCAAGGGCCATGGAGGCCCAGGGCTTGGAGGGGGCCTGGGCTGCTTATCTCCAGCCCTGGAGAAGATGGGCCTGGTCAGGAGACCCCGACCAGCTGCAGGGGGGCCTCAGAGTGGGAGCCAGAGGTGGGAAGGCCTCACTGCCGCCTCCCCCACCTGCCTCTTTCTGAAACTGCAGGCCCTGGGCTGTGGCTGCGTGGCGCAAGCCGTCCTGAGCAGGGGGACCATGGGAGGAGCAGCCACAATCTCCGTTGGCTTCTCCATGGCTGTCACCCTCGGCGTCTACGTGGCAGGAGGCATTTCCGGTAAGCTGGCGTTTGCCACCCCTCAGTTTGGGAAAAGGAGGCTGGGCTGCTGCCTTATTCTTGCAGCTGGCGCTTCCGCCCCCCCCCTTCCTTCCCCCGAGGGCCCCCCAGGGTGGGAAGCGGCTCCACAGGGCATCCCATAAAGGCCTCAGGAAAGTCCCCGGCACCAAGAGCGGCTGTGGCTGTGAGCCAAAAGGTGCATCACGGCAACAGTGGAAACTGATGATGGGGAGGGATTTCAGGCTGGGACGTTTGGCTCCTCGCCTTTTGCAAAGAGATGCGGTGGCGGCAGGAGAAGGCCAGGCCGGCTGGGGGAGGGCCAGGCTCCGTCCGTTCTCCTGGCCGCGCATGTCGCCTTATCCGAGAGAAAGAAATCGGGCCCCGCAAAGGCACCCTGGGGGAATACTTCCCCCCACCCCACCCCGGAGCAGAAGATCTAGCTGTGCCTGCAATCCAAGACACTGTTGGGGTTGGAGCCTCTTTCGGGGGGGGGGGGGGGGAAGGGGCCCCAAGGGCTCAGTCAGGGGAACCTCTGCTTGGCTCTGCTTCCTTCGGGACCCCTTCAGGCCTTGTGGCAGATGAGAATGGATACCCATGTTTGGGCGGGGGGCAGGGGGTGCCAGAACCCCTCCTCTATGGCTGGCGCTGCAGATCCTGAACCCGATTCCAGCCGCCCTGTTTCATTCCCCGGCTGAGACCCCCCCTCTGCCCAAACAGCCACTGGTGACCAAGAGCGATCTCTGCTGATCTCTCGTGAATCCTTCTTGAGGCTCTTCTGAAACAAACCCTACACCTTCGCCTAGGACTTAAAGAAAGGATAGAAATAATTGGATTCCCTAAATAAATGATCAGGCCTTAAAAGAGACAATGAAAATGTCCCCTCTTGAAGCCGAGGGAGCCTCGTGTCTCAGGTGGAGATGGAGAGAGAGATTCCGAGGTGACTTCCATCGGGGCAGGTTAGAAATGCAACGATTTATCAGCCCTCCCTCAAGCGCCACCCCAAAGGGCAGTGGGGAACTTGGGTGGTGGGATGCCCTTGACCTTAGACCATGAAGACCAAGCTGTCCAGAGAAGTCCTAGAGAGCCCCCTGCAAGCGCCCACCCACCCCACGGCTGGGGCAGCTGCCAGTCTGGGACAGTCCAGCATGGGCTCTATGACAAGAGCTCCGGGACCGCCCTGCCTGTCCTGGGCCGGGGGCTTCCCTGAGCCCACCTCCGCAGGAGCGCTCCTCCTGACCCAACCCAAGGAGCCGGTGCGAGCAGCCTTGAGAAAGGGCCTGAGGGGCCCAGAAGGGGCATCTGCCAGCTTCGTTCTCTCCTCCTTGTCTCCTCCCTAGGTGGTCACATCAATCCAGCCGTCTCCTTCGCCATGTGCTTGACTGGGAAGATGAAATGGGCCAAACTCCCTGTTTATGTCCTGGCACAATATCTGGGTGCCTTTCTTGGATCTGCAGTGGTCTTTGGCATCAACTATGGTGAGTGGGAGGGCCCAGTCTCCTTTGCTTCAGCTGGGATTTTACACAGGAACCCCAAAATGTTCTTGCAAAATTAGGTGACTTTTTCCCAGATGGGCCAGAATTTGTGGCCACTTTTGTGCACTGTTTGGCCCTGGTGGAAACCCCATGGAGGCGCTTCCCAGCAGAGAATAACCTGGCCCCGAAGGCAGCTTCTGCCTGAGAAGCCAGTTTCGCTTACCAGACCTGAGCCGGCCTCAGCGCTTGGAAGGCCACGGGAAGCCTCCCGTTTTGGAACCAGAAAGGGAGTTCTGCACATCTAAGCAAGGCGCCCTTTCCGGTCTCTGGCCAAAGGCGATCCAGGGCTTGGCTTTTCTGTGGCCAGGCGTGCTGTCCCTGCCCTCTTCCAAGGCTGCTGCTTGTCGCTTCCTCCGCAGATGCGCTCATCGTCTACACGGGTGGCTCCTTTACCGTCAGAGGGCCCAATGCCACAGCGCACATATTTGCAACGTATCCTCAGGAATATTTGTCCCTGGCTAATGGCTTCGCAGACCAGGTAAGGAGCAAGAGGGCTGCCCGGGTGGGTGTCCCGGTTTTCTTCTTTTGGGAGGGTCTGTAACTCACCCCGAGCCCCAGGAAGGGGCAGGACAGAAACTGGGGCCTTCCTAGGGCCAAGGGAAAGGGGGCACCAGGGCGAGGGGGGCTTCCCATCGTCGCCAGAACCGTCTGTCAGCCTGGGGCCCCCCGTCTCCCCGCTGCCTTCAAGGTCCCAGGGCCAGGGGCAGCCTGGGGGTAAAGCCCTTGCCTTTCTCTGCCAGATGATGTCCACGGCCTTCCTTATCCTGGGGGTCTTTGCCATCCTCGACACGGACAACTTGGGGGTCCCGAAGGGGCTGGAGCCCATCGCCATTGGCCTCCTCATCATACTGCTGACCTCTTCCATGGCCCTGAACAGCGGCTGCGCCATGAACCCCGCCCGAGACCTGGGCCCCCGCCTCTTCACCTACCTGGCGGGATGGGGGTCTGAAGTCTTCACGTGAGTCCTTTGCCCTGGGCGGGGCGGGGGGCACCTGGACCCTCAGCCATTCCCACCCCTACTTTCTTAGCCCAGCCATGGGGAGGGGGCGAGGGGCGATTCGGTGGGGCTGGGAGCCTGAGCGGGAGGGTCGCCCCACGTGCCTCCGTGGAAGAGCGAGGCTGGAGCGGGAGCCGTCTGGGCGGGGCTCCCCACCTCCATAGCTGGAAGGAAGTCTGGAAACAGAGCCGACAGGTTGCCGGGCCTCCCGCTCCCCACTTCGGGCCCGTCTCGCCGCCTTCCGCGGGGCGCTGGGGGGCGCCGCTCTCCGCGGAAGCCGCCCGTTGAGCGAGCGCGTGGCAAAGCCGCCACCTGGTGGCCAATCGCGGCGCTGTTTTTCCCCGGAGCGAATGCCCCGCGCCCCGCTTGGCTTCGGCGCCCTGTGGCCTCCGGGCCAGGAGGGGCCCTGGGCCTTCTTGGACCATGCGGCTCTGCGTGGAGGTCCACTTCCAAATTAAGGGGGCTTTGCAGATTGAGGAGGCTTAATTCTTCTCCTTGGAAGCAACGCCGCCGTTGCCTCAGGAGGAGGAGGAAGCAGAGCTGCTCTTTCAGCCATTGGATGCAACGGGCACCCCAGGGAATGTACCTGTCCCCACCCCCCACCTTCCATGGCCCCCAAAACACACTGCAACTCAGCAATGCGGCCACGGGTGGGTTCTGAGCTAGCCAGCCAGGCTCCAAGGGGTCTGGTGAGGATTAAGTGTCCCGAGAGCAACCCCTTAAACTCGCCTGTTTCTTTTCCCCCCACAGAACTGGCAATAACTGGTGGTGGGTCCCCATCGCCGGCCCCATGGTTGGGGCAGCCCTGGGAGCTGCCACCTACCTGCTCTTCATCGAGATCCACCACTTCCCCCTGTCGCCCTGCCAGAAGACGGACACGGAGGGTCTCTACGAACATGAACTGGCCCCCCTGGAGGAGGGAAAGTAGGGCCCAAAGAAGCCCCCACCCCCCCCAGCTCCCAGGAAAGCCACTCCCAGAAGGCAGGTGGCCCCTCCCTCCCCACTTGCCCTCCAGAAAGTTACCTTGAAATCCTCTGCTCCCTCCCCCCCCCCCCCCCGCCCCCCAGCCTTGGTCTTCCACCTCCATCCCCTGCAAACAACCAAGAGCACCTGACAAAAGCCCCGGCAGCTCTTTGCCCATCTGGGTGCTCTGGGGCCGGGTCAGGGCCCCCCCTCTCTGGCACCACACCGGAGTTCCAAAACCAGCTTTGCCTTCAACCTGGGCAGCCAGAGGAAAGCGGCACCCAGAACCAGCTCAGGCCTCCTGGGCACAGAGGTTCCCCCAAGGGGCCTGCCCAGAGAATGGTGCTTCCTGGGCTGTTTTGCACCCGTGGTGGCTGCCCCCTCCCCCCTCCCTCCCCAGCAGCAGAAGCAGAGTTGGCAACAGAGCTGCAACCTTGGCTCAGGTGTGGGAGGACGCGTGTTTTGGAGCTCTGCAGTTGCGCCAAAGGGGACCCAGCCAGAGAAGCCCAAGGCAAAGGAAGGGCAGCTCCCTCTGTGTGGGGGGTGGGGGGGTGAATAGCATAACATATTGAATAGTAATGAGTATAAACATTGTCAGAGTATGTTGTAATAGTGATTATCATAGAAACACTGTAGAGAGAGCAATAAAATGGAATAGAGGAAGTCCTCACATATCACGTTTATACATTTGTTTTGACAAAATAAAACCGCTTCCCAGCCCTTATAGACCAGAGATACAAAGAGGCCCCCACTCCAGGATCCAGGGCTTCAGTGTGTCTCCTGGGTCAGAGAATTGGGTATAATTTAAGAAAGAACCCTCTTGCTTATGCTCACGCAGGCACACACACACACACACACACACACACACACACACACACACAGACAACGCAGCATTTGACAGGACCCCCAAAGGAGCAGATCCAGACCCGCCCCCAGTCCAGCCACCACTTCACATTGGTCAAGGCAACGGAGCAGCTCGGACTTCAGCAAAGGTGCCGGATGCTGGATTCGAACTGGCTTCTTTGACTGTCTCCAGCCCCAGGGTGGAATTCTGCCTCCTTCCAGAGGGACATCCAGGGGAATGGGGAATAAAGAGCATTTTCTCCCAATCAGAAGGCCAGTGTCTACCTGGGAAGAAATGGTCTCCCTGGAGGGGTGGTATGTGTGCTACCGATGACCCCCCTCCCCCCCCACCCCCCCACCCCCCGGGCCTCCAAGGAAGAAGCATTGCAAGCATTGCAAGCAGAGAAAAACGCCCTCCTGCGATCCATTTACCCTCCCTTCTGGTGGTCCCAGCCGGTCTCGAGAACCCAGCGAGCCAAGCTGGCCAGCCAAGGGAGGGTGCCTGTCCATGAAGCCCCCACCTCCAGACCACAGGGAGCCAGCGTCTCTGTCCCAGCCCTGCACAGCCCAGCAGATCCCCTCGGACTGCCCACCCACCCCCCTCATATCAGAAGCCGGGCCTGGTTCTGTTTGAGAAGTCAAAGGTGTCCCTGGCTTGTCTCCCTTGTTTGCTTTGCCTCCCAGGCAGCAGCAGCCCGCCTCCCCCCCCCCCCCCCCCCCTTTCCCCCTGGCCCCTCCCCCCCCCCCCCCCCCGGCCGAGGAAGCCACCCCGGCGGCGGCCCAAATCCCCCCCCCCCCCCCCCCCGCGTCCCGCGTCCCGCATCCCACGCAGTTTTAGATGCGAGCAGCATTGGGCTCCGCCAAAGATCAGCAAGTCCTGGTGAAGGTGAAAGGCGTCCTTATGCCTCCCCCCCCCCGCGCGCGCGTGTGTGTGTGAGGGCGCGGGGTGGGGTGGGGGGCTGGAAGGGATGCGGGAGAGGCGGGGGAGGGGGGGCCAGACCGGGGCAAACAGGACGGTGCCAAAGGCCATGTTGACCAAGCGGCCAGGGGACGGTCCCACAGGAGCCGCCCGGGCTCCCCGCTCGTGCCCCCCTCAGCTCCGAGCCGCCTTTCTGGAGCAGGTCCGACCGCGGCGGGCGGGGGGGGGGGGGGGGGGCCCTCCTCGGGCCCCCGGGCCCCCCCCCGGGGGGGGGGGGGGAAAGAAGAGGCTACCCTCCCGCCTGGCCTTCCGCAAGGCCGCTGGAGAAGGTCAATGAAAGCGGAGTGGACTTTCGGGGCTGCTTTCTCCGTCTCACCGTAAAACAATCCACCCGGGGCCAGGCGGGGGGTGGGGTGGAGGCCCTCTGGAAACCCCGGCCGGCTCCTGATCGGGCCCGGCAGGGTTGGCGCATCCAGGGGCCCCGGAGAGCAACAGGCCCTTCATTGCAAAAGGTTAATCATTAATGCGCTGCTAGTCCTCACTGCCCACCAGCGGCGGGAGGGCCCAGCTCTGTCCTTCCGTCCCTGCGGCAGCGGCAGCCACCTGAGCCCGGCGGGTTTGGGCAACGGCGCCATGAGAAGCCGCCTGGCCCCTCCGCTGCTGCTCCTGCTCTGCGCGCTCCTTGCCGAAGGGAAGCCCAACGGTCGGAGGAAGAAAGGTGAGCCGCCGCCGCCTCTGGACCGGGGCTCACCTCCAGCAGGACGCGGGGTTCGGAGGAAGGTCCGGCCCAAACAGCCCCCCCCCCGCAGCTTTCCTGTTCGCTGCAATTGGCGGGTCCCATCCAGAGAGCAGCAGGGGGGCGGGGGGGGGCGCGGCAAAGGCCTCTTCATTCATAGGGAAAGGGGGGGAGGGGAGGAGGGGGGGAGTCCCGCGGAGTTTCCCTCCACCTGGTTGAAGGGGGACCCTCCGTTGCCGCAGGCAGGTGGGAAGGCCTGCCCCGTTGTCCCGGGTGGCACCTGCCGTGTTCCCCGAGCGACGCTCGCCTGCTGGATTAGCGGCAGCCCCGGCCCATCCTCCCCGTCCGGCCTGACTCCCTGGCCTGGCCTTCGGCCTGAGCCCCTTCTTTCCCCAGCTGACCAAAGAGGCTTCCTGGCCGCCAGGAACTGCCCCACACTTTGGGGCCTGGGGCCTCCCTGCATTTATTCCTCCCTTCTCCTTGGGAGGGATCGGTTGCTCCCCTTCCAGATGGTTTTTGGGGGCTGAACTCCAGGTGTCCCCAAAAGGGGAGCAGAGACTCTCCGTCTCTTTGCTTAGCCCAGGTCGCCCCACGTCCTGGTGAGCCCTCCGAGGCTGGTTTGGGGCAGCCCGATACAAGGTTTCCTCCTTCCTTCGAGTCAAGAACGGGCTTTGCCACTGAAAGCCTCCCAAGCCAAGACTGGCTAGTCCTGGGCAGCAAAGGGGTCCTCAACTGAGAGCCGGGTTTTTTATAGAGTCGCACTGAGGATCTTGATTTGGGGTTCCCTTTCAGGCAGGGTTTGGGAGGGTGGCAGCCTTGCCTGGTGCAAGAAGGATCAAGAAGCAAACTTTCATTTTGGATGCAAAATAAAATGTTGCAATATTGCAGGACGAGTTGGAGATTTAAACTGAGACTGCTTGAAAATGATTTGCTTGAGGGGCTGAAGGAAAATTAAATTTTCTCCCTTCATAATTCCTGCAAACTAGGATATTTTAAGTAAAAAAATAACTGGTCCTCTTTGTCAGAACTTAGAAAGCAAACAGACATTCCAGGACCAATCGATTAAAACCCCCCTCCGTTCTCCCTTTTGCTGGCGCCTGAATTCCTTCTCAGCCTTTAGAGACGGGCTCCAGGGGAGGTCTGATTTTGGGGTTATCACAAAGATGTGGGAAGCCCTGGCAGAATTTCTTCAGGGACCACGCGGCTTCCTCCCCTGTTTGGTATAAGAGAAGCTGCCGCTGAGCGGTTGAATTCTGCCAGCCTCCCCTGCTACTTCAAGCAGGACCCCCTCTTCTGTGAGCTCCTGCAGGGCAGAAAGAATGGGGTGCTTGCCTCAAGAGCACCCCACATTTCCCGCACTAACTGGAGAGCACCTGGGTCTGTTTTTAAGACCAGCTGCAGGGCCTGGAGAGAGGAAGGAGACGATGGTTGGGGCTGCAAAGGCTGGGCAATTAATATAATAAGCCTCTTAGTGCACCCCAGTCTAATCTGACTAATCCAAAGGAAGGATTTTTGATCCGGTGTTTTCAAGCCACCACTTTGAGGTCCTAAGGGACTCCCAGGTGGCAAATGGCATTCCTCCCTTGGTAACACCTTGGTAGCAGACCCTGGCCGTGGGCTTGAAGGCTGATGGGCTGCAGTGACGGAGGCAGATTCTGCTCAGCCTATTTCCCCCTTTCCTCTCCGTCCCCGTTTATTACAAATGCCTCAGATAAGAAATACAGGCCCGAGATGTGTGAAATATTTGCCTTGGTTAATTATGAATGGGAGAATTTAATTTCTTCCTGAGTCTTCAGGCTCCGCATTCAATTATTCTGGACCTGCAAATAAGAAATGTGTGGGAAGAATTCACCCTAGTTAATTATGAATAAAGGGATTTTAAATACAAGGCAGAAGCCACGTAAATTTGATGAATAAATAAATACAGCCTGTGCCCTTCCCGAATTAACACCTTGCAAGGAGCAGCAGCAGCAGCAGCTCTCCCTGCATTCATCTCCGCTTCTGGCTGTAAGGGAGGCGGTCCTGTCTGGCCGGGGGGGGGGTTGGGGACAGAACCCCAGATCCTTCCCCTCTCGGGGGGCAAAGGTTTCCACTCAGACTGCAGTACAATTCCTTGCTCTCTCCCCGCCCCCCCCAAAGTTAGGGCACAGAACTGAAAGGAGGCGAGAGGAGCCCGTGCGGGGCGTCCCGTGTCTTTTGCCCCCCCCCCACCTGCATCTGACGCAGCTCAAGCAAAGTGGACTCAACAATCGAAAGTCTGCCTTCTGCCCAGGAAGAGCAAACAGAGGCAGCAGACGGCTGGATTAGGAGATCAGAGCAATTTCCTGGGCGGGTCTGTGACTCCTTCAGCGACCCAGAAAGGCCTGGTGGCCTTCAGGCGCAGTCTCCCCTTCTTTGCCCCTGCAGGGGCCCCCTGCAAAGGGAAGGAAGGCGGGGCCCCAGGGGCCAGCAGGGAGGGGTTTCCAGGGCCCATGGGGCACCAAGAAAAGCCCCTGGCAACTCCCTGCCCAGATGCATTGCGCGGCTTTAATTAATTTGATTAATTTAGCCTGGCACTGGGCGCTTCTGGGGACCCGAGAACTTCAACGTCCTTTTGCATTTCTGCAACTCGGACCTCCGCTGTTCCAGGGGAGTGTGTGTGTCCCTGCTCGCCTCCTTGCTGCCACAGGTGGGAGGGCCGCTTCAGTGTGACGCCTGTGTTTCTTGCAAAGGCCAATGGAAGCCCCGTTCCATCGGTTCGGCTCCCACGCCATTTCCGGAAGGGAGCAGTGGAGGGAGGAGGGGGAGGGGCTGCGAGGGGATTCCACAGCAGGACACAAGAGACGCTGCTGGCTCTGGGTTCTGCTGGGCCCCTGAGAAGGGAGGCTAGAAATAGGAGCCAGCAGCCCCCCCACCCCACCAGTCTGCAAAGCCTGCCTGGCTCAGGTGCACCCCTCAACACCAAGTCGTAGTTTGGGGCTATATTGGAAGGGCAAGGAGGGGGCTAGTGCTCTAAAGAGCCCCCACTCCTAAAGGCAGGAGCCGAAGACGTGATCAAGTGCCTGGCTGAAACTCTTCCAGAGTCTGGAGAGGGGAGGGGAGGGCACCCCCGACCTCTGGGAGGCTCACAATGTGGGGGATGCAGTGGGGCCACTTGCTCCTCCGAGGCTGCCAGGTGTTCGGTGGCAACACTGGGCTTCCTCTGTTGCTTTGCAAAGACCCCAAACTCACCGGTTGCTGTAAAAGTGCTTTAGGGGGCCTTCCGGGGGCTCCGATCCCAGGGACCCCCAATCTTATCAATGCTGGAGTGTCTCGGCATCCCTGAAGCCCCCGGCATTTTCCCCAAGGAGACCCTTTCAAAGTCTGTCTGACGCACCACATTTGGGCAGACGATGCCCCGAAGGGCCCCTTGGCAGATTGGTGAGTTGTGGGGTGTGTTGGCCTTAACTGCTGGGAGCCTCTTCAGCCGGGGGCACCTGGGAGGTTGGTCTCCGGGGCTTTGGCTTTGCCTGCCAGCTGGGCGCGTTCAGAGCAGCTTCTGAATTAAGAATCGAGCGACAGGTAAGTTGTGAGCGTGTTGTTGCCCAAATTCAGCAGCCGGCCCAGGGAGGGCCAAGGGGCCTCCGTGGCCCCCAGAAGCCAAGCCACTGGAGACAGGCCCCCTTTCGCTGACTGTCTCTTCCAGGCTCCCCTGGGCAGCTGCTTCCCGGGAGGAGAGGCCCCGCCCGCTTCGAGGCCAAGTTCCTGCTGTATTCCAACAGGGCGGAGCAGGGCTGCCTGATTGAGCCCCACCAGGAGGAGGCGCTCCAGCAGTGTCCCTTCAATGCCTCCCTCCCGCTGGTGATGATCATCCACGGGTGGTCGGTAAGAGCCCTGGTCTCGTGGGAGGGGGGCCTGGTCTGGCTGCCACCCTGCCTGTTCCTGCACACAGCTGAGGGGGTGACACCGGAGACCCGGGGTGGGGGAAGAGCTTCCTTGGGGGAGGCAGCCCCGTATTCCCCCCCCGCCCCATGCTGGAGGAGCCGTGCATTGCTACCAGCCACGTGTGGGACGCAGCTCCCTCCCCCTTGAGGGCTTCACAAGAAGGAAGGTGGCTGCTCCTCCAAAAGGAACAGCCCTCCCCCGCCCCACAACTGGACCCCCGTGGAATTGGGGCAGGCGTTTCTTCGTTCCTGCGGCAGCAGAGGGACGGGTGGGAGGGCTGGAGGGTCAAGGCTGTCTCTGGGTGTGGGGTGGCACCATCCACCCAGGGCTGCCGGGAACCGGGAGGTGCCCTGGCCTGCTGGCACACTGGGCAAGCTCCAGGGGGGGCTGGTTGGCTCCCAGGCCAAAGGGCTTCCCTTCTCCTCCTGTGGCTGCAGGTGGACAGGCGACTCGAAGGCTGGATTTGGAAACTGGCCGAAGAGCTCAAAATCCAACTGCCTCACAGCAACGTCGTCATCACCGACTGGCTCTCTCTAGCGCATGCACATTACCCCGTTGCAGTGCAGAATACGCGCGACATCGGCCGAGAGATCGCTCGCTTCCTGGAGTGGCTGGAGGTCAGCTGGGAGAGGAGAATCGCTAAGGCCGCTGCCTCAAGAGAGCCTCTCCGGGGGACCTTAGCCCTGACCGGGGTGGGGGGACGGGGGGAGCAATTGCAGCCTTCTGAGCTGAGCCACGGTTTGCCCTGGTGGGCCGTGTTGATGGACCGGCTCAGGCCGCCCAGGCGGCCGGGTGCTGTGGGTCGTCTCAGGTGACTGCAGAGCTGCTCACCTTGGTCCTCCATCCGTTCCCGGCTCTCTTCCAGGAAACCGTGCAGTTTCACCGGAGCAATGCTCACCTGGTGGGGTACAGCCTGGGCGCCCACGTAGCCGGTTTTGCCGGCAGCTCCATGAGAGGCAATGGGAAGATTGGCAGGATCACCGGTGAGTCCATCAGCCTGGCTGGGCTTCACTTCAGGATAAACCCGGCCATTTGTCAGCTCCATTTGGGTGGGCAGGACCAGGCCATGGCCGCTGGGCCCCGAGGAAGAAGGGCCGGCTCCTCGGCTTCTGCGTGGAGCCACACCTGGAGGAAGTTTGTGAAGCTGGGTGGGAGGGAGGGAGCATTCCTCTCCCAGGTCAGCTGGCCCAGCAGTGACCCAGAGGGCAGCTCCGCACCTCCCCACTCTCCTCCTCGGCTTGCTCCAGGGAAGAGAAGGCCCCACTCCAGCTCTGGCTGCCAGAGGCGGGTTCTTAGGCCAGGGGCTGAGCCCCGTTCCTGGGCCACATTTCTGGCCAGCCTGGCTGTATCTCCCTTGCAGGCCTGGACCCGGCCGGCCCCCTCTTCGAAGGCATGTCCCCCACCGACCGGCTCTCCCCAGACGACGCTGACTTTGTGGATGCCATCCACACCTTCACCCAGCAGCACATGGGCCTCAGCGTCGGCATCAAGCAGCCTGTGGCGCACTTCGACTTCTACCCCAACGGGGGGACGTTCCAGCCGGGCTGCCACATCATGCATGTCTACAACCACATCGTGCAGTACGGAATCACCGGTAGGGGGGGCCGCGGGAGGGAGGAGGGCCGGCAGGAGCCCCGGAGCAGAACTCGCAGGCAGCTGAGTGGGTCAGGGCCAGGAAAGCCAGGGGCTGGATGAGGCGCTCTGAGCTTTAACCACTGGGCATCTCTCTCCCTTCTCCTTCCCGCCTGCTCCTCCTTGCCAGGAGTTCTGGAAGGCAGCTCCACGGGGGTCCATGGAATGGGGGGGCGGGGGGAGGGGTCTAACCTCCCATGCTGTGACAGCCAGAAAGGGGGGAGGGCATCCCTGCAGCCAGAGGGCCAAACGGGGGTCTCCAAGCAGAGCCTTAAGGGAGGCCCTTGGCCCGCAGGCAGAGCCCCCCCCTGGCATGCCAAAGGACCCTGGCTCCTGGGCTCTGGCAGTGCTGAGTTGGATGCTGGCTCAGGATACCAGCCCTGACCTCTTGGTCCCGAGGCAGACGGGTTCCCCCCCCACCCAGCCTGCCCACGGAATGGTTCGAAAGGAGAGCCGGGGGGGGGGGAACAGCTGGAGAGGAGAGCAGTGGGCAATTTCTGCAGCTGGCGGGACTGAGAAGCCTCTGACTTGCTCGGTGCCCCCCTTCTCTTTCCCTGCAGGGCTGACCCAGACGGTGAAGTGTGCCCACGAGCGGTCGGTCCACCTCTTCATCGACTCCCTGCGGTACGGCCAGAAGCAGATGACCGGCTATTCTTGCAAGAACATGCAGATGTTTGACAAGGGACGCTGCCTTGACTGCCGGGGCCACCGGTGCAACACCTTGGGCTACCACATTCGGAAGGCCCGGGTCCCTGGCAGCCAGAGGTTCTTCCTGAAGACCCAGCCTCAGATGCCCTTCAAAGGTCGGTGGGGGAGGGGGCAACGGTGGACCGGCCCAGGGGGGGTCTTGTGGAGGGGGCAGACTCTGCGGGTTATCCTTGGGCCACAGTGGCTGTGCAGGCTCTGAATGGCACCAGTTCAGAGAGGAAAGCAGGCTGACCACGAGCGTGGCCTTATCCCAGGTGAGATGACCAGCCCTCTGGGCGAGATGCTGCCCTTGGAGCCAGCCAGCTTCATTCCTGCAAATGGGAGGGGCCAGAAGCTCATGTCCAAAGCCCTTAAAAGCCCAGGAAAGGCAGGGAAGCCCCTGGACTGATGCTCGTGCCACTTCCTAAGCAGGTGAGCAGACCTGGCTATTCAAAATGCTTCAGGAAGATTGCCTGGAACAAATGACCACAAACTACCTGGAGGGATGCCAGATTGCCAGCGGGGCAGTGGCCGGTTGTCCACGCGAGAGTTTCCTCGGCCGGGCACAGTGCTCAGGCACCCATTTGATGAGGGCGTTACTCTCTCAAGGCCCAGCCTGCCGCATGTGTCTCCCGTGCTAGGCCTGGCTGTGCTGCAGACAGAAGCGAAGGCGTCTTAAGCTCTCCAGAACAACGGCTGCCTTTCACAAAAGCTAACAAGGCAGGACAAAGCAGCTATTATTTTAGGCTCCATCGTGACCTGCAATTCCTTGCTCAAAATGTTGCAAAGACCATGTGAGGAGCTGAAGCAAGAATGAAAAACTAACACTGAGATGCCCCACCCCCAATCCTCGGGTACCCTCCTGCAAAGGCCGTGGGCAACCAGGTCAGCCTTCGTGCAGACCGTCTCCTGCACCAGCACCAGCGGCTGATGGGGACAGAGGCGGCAGCCCTGCCCCTCTGCCAGGAGGTCAGAGGGTCTCCTGCCAGATCTGGCTCAATTCAGGGGGCGTGAAGCAGGAAGCCTGTTCGGAGGCTCCACTCGGGTGTCCCCCCAGATGTGTGTGTGCTGTGGTTTCTGGCCAGGAAATGGACCCCGGCAGCGTGAAAATGCTCCTGGGGCAAAGCCCTGCCTGCAGAGAGGCTCAGGGTGTAGATGGATGTAGATCCGAGTCTGAACTTTCTTTAGGGCAGGACAGGGATAAATAAATAAAGGGTGAACATGTATCTTATATCTCTTTGGAAGTGAAGATGCGGCATGCTCTCTTCTCTCCACAGTTTATCACTATCAATTTAAAATCCATTTCATCCACGAATTCCAAGAACCACGAATTGATCCAACGTTCACTATCTCGCTGACTGGCAACAAAGATGACGTGGAAAATCTCTCCATCACTTTGTGAGTTCCAAACTTTGCCCAACCTGGCTGGTGTCAAAAGCCTTGGCACGAAAGCCATGCTTCACATCAGGGGGTGCCTTGGCATGTTTATCACCGAGGAGGCTAATTTCCTCAAAGTGCTCCTTCCTGTGGAGACAAAATAGCACATCTGCAGGTAGCAGCACCTTTATAGCTTTTCATTTCTCCCAGGGATGCCGAGACCCTGGAGCCAGATGTCCACACCTGGACATAATTTCTTCTTCGGCCTCTTTTGTAGTAGTCTCCATCCACTGAGTCTTTTTGCATTGTTCCACTTTAAGTCAATAAACCATAGATATATCGATCCTCTTTGTAGCGTATATATGTAATCGTTTAACACACTGTTGTTTTAAATTGGGAAATTTGTCACTGCGGCTCCTGAACTGGCCCAGGGCAAAGACAACTCGGTGGAAGAGCGAACACAAACAAATGAACGGACCCCCCCCACCCCCCGTTCCATGAAGCTCCAGCCAGAGAATCTTAGAGGGTTTCTTCTTCTCTCCCTTAGAATCAAAGGCATCACTCAGAATAAAACCTACACTTTTCTGGTTCCTCTGGATGTTGATATTGGAGAGCTGATGATGATCAAACTGAAATGGGAAGGAACGGCCATCTGGGAAAACATTTGGGACACTGTCCAAACCATCATCCCTTGGAGAAAGGGGGACCGTCGGCCAGGACTCATCGTGACCTCCATTCGAGTCAAGGCAGGAGAAACTCAGCAGAAGTAAGTGTGCCCGGACCGGCCAGCAGGTGGGAAAGACAAAGGGTCCAAAGTGACCGGTGTGCAACGGGGGCTTCCTTTCCGCAGTCAGGTCCAGCGGCAGCGTGGAAAAAGTGGCTCAAAATCACCATCATCGGTCTTTTCATTTCACAGGTCTCAGGCTGCACCTGGCCTTGCGGAAGAAATTCACTCTTGGTTTGTTCATTAGTTTTTCTGTTTTCTTTCTTTTCAGAATGACGTTCTGTTCTCAGCGTGTGGATAATTTGCACCTCTATCCAGGTCATGAGAAAATGTTTGTGAGATGTGAAGTCAGTTCCCAAAAGCTGAAATGAGAGTATGGGTGATAAGCAAACGTTTGAAAAAGCTAGTCTGGAGGGGAGACGTCTCAGCTTTTACCCTTTGCTTAGAAAAAGAAAAAAGGAACACTTTTTTGGTAAAAACACAACAATCTGAAACCTAAAAAAAGTGATCTATCAGGATGTATTGTAAATTGTATACATTCAAGACCAGATTGAGTAAACAAATAAAAAGTGAATTAAAAACAAACTAAATCTGCCTTGTGCAGGGCAATTAATAATCCGTGTCTTTTTTTTCTCGTAAGAAAAAACAGTATATATATATTTTTTTCTTGAAAGGGGGGTTATATCGTTAGGAAGTCTGTAAGATTTCTGGCATTACTACTACTGGTCTGGCTGCGCGGGTGGGGTGGGGGTAATCACTTTTCTTTTGGCTATTCTGGCTTTGGCAGATAAGAACCAGGCTCCAAAAACGTGAACATTTGAATTCTGATGCGCAAACACAACATTTGCAAAGTAAGGTTTAGGCTGACCTTGCTGATAAGGGTTGCGCCACAAGCTGGTGGGAAGGAGTGCTGTAGCTGCCTTCCATAGACGCACGTACCACTTCTCTGCCATACGGCACAAGCATATATTAAATATTTGGCATCTCTTGCTGACCGCTGTCCAGACCCCTAGAATAACAGCAACCTAGTTGCTAGAGTGCAAAGAACGTAGTAGCGGTGCAAATTAACATTTTCAGAAAGATTGAGGCGAAAGGCTTCACGTTCTAAAGTCTCCATTTTCAATAGAATCCAGCAATAGGACCTGCTTGGCCGAGCTGCCTTGGAGGCCCAGAAGGCGGCGGGAGGGGGACCCGCAAGGCCAAAGCCCTCTCTCTCAGATGCAGGTGGGACCGCCTGATCGACGACACGGCTGGGGCCTCATCTGGGTGGTTGTAGCTGCCCTCCCCCCAGACAAACGGCACCACCACCACCACCAGAGCCATCCTTCCTTCAGTTGCCCCAGGAATCCCTAGCAGAGAGTAGGAAACGGGATGCCCCCAAGGGCTCCATCAGCCCTCCGGGGCTGTGGCTGGTGGGCCCGGGAAGCCAAGGTCTCTCCCTTCCTATGGCCTCCCAGTATCTGGAGGGTTGCCTTTCCCTGACCTCCCCTCCGGAGTCTTGGGGGGTGGGTGGGTGGAAGTCCCTTGGCCCCTTCTGGGAAATGGCCTTTCCGAGCTGGGCGTAACAGCTGGTGGAAGGCCCGGCTCACGTTGCCAGCGCAAGGCAGCTGAATCGGAGGCCGAGTGGCAAGGCCCCTGCGGTGCCCACCGCCGCAGCCTTTTGCCACAGCCTGCAGACGGTCTCGCTTCGCTGGCCTTCAGGCTACTCAGAGAAAACAGGCAACTTCTGGAGTGATTTCGTCAGGTCTATTTATTAATGCATTTCAAGTTTCAAAAACCCTTACATCTGTTTGCACAATACTTTTATTTTTTTTGCAACTTTTTAGTAAAAATTTCCAAAGTGAACAAAAAGATACTGTATAAAACACAGTGGACATTAAACTGACAGTAGTATTAGATCGCGAATTGCCTTGATAGTTTTATTTTACCACATCTTGACTTGCAGTGGAGATTTCAGTGCATTTTTTTCTTTGCAGAAAACATGAAACTTCGGCCCCCAGTAAAAACAGGGGGGCAGCCGCCTGGCTCTCTGCCAAACACCTCTGCCACAGGATAATATCACAAGCAAAGAATTTACATGGTCCAAGATCTACCATACTCGAGAAGTTACTAAGACCTCTTGTAGAATAAAAGCCACCATTTCAGAAATGCAAACCTAACCTTCCGGTCTTTGCAGTCTGAAGAAGAAAAAAATCCCAAAATGTAGTTTAAAATGATTTAAAAGCAACTACAGAGACTTCTAGCTAGTTAAGATCCTTCAGAATTATTTATAATCTATTAGTCTGGGGAATTCATGTACAAAATTTGTCTCTAAACCATGTACAAAAAACCTGTATTCTGAAAAAAGTCACCACATACTGTACAAGTTTTACAAGGAAGGGATTCCCATTAGATTCTTTTAAAGTCTTCTGCCTTGCTGGCTTACGAGTCACGCGATGAGACCGAAACGTCTAAATCTCATACTCTTGAAAAACCAAAACAAAATCCATAGCTTGGCTAGCATCCCACCCCCAAAATACACCTGGGTTCCTAAGCAAAGCCAGAAATATTTTGCAGCCATCGGTTCCCCATCAGCTTGGCGCTTTTGGAACAACAGAAGCAGTGAAGTCAAGCTTGAATAATGCCCTCATCCATTTCCTGCATAGCAGTTAAGCACATTATGACATTGCTTTTTCTTTCTTAAAAAAAAATGCCAATTATATACACTTGCAGTAAAAACTTTGGGCCATTGTGCTGTTTGAGATCCTCTTTAGTGCCTTCCACGTTCCCCAGCCTACAACAGTTACACAACCACAGCAATTCTCACAGTAGTGGTTTCTGTTTTAGTGGTTATCTTTTAAAACAGTTTCATGCTGAAAGATTATTCCAATACTTGTTAAAACAAGAAAACACAGCTTTACTTTCTCCCAAATTTTCAAAATTGGGATCCTTATTACCGCTTATCAAGGTGATCTGACTACCAAATCCTTGTGGGGGAGGGGGGAGGAGTCAACACTCCTTTAACAGAATAGGCAGCGGTGTTTTTTTTCTTTTTGAATACTTCTGCGGCCTCTCGAGAGGTCAGGCGCTCGACCGAACCGTTCAGTGCGATCCCGGGCAGGTGAGCCAAACCCCAGGCAAGCTCTTCCCGTAGCAGCCTGGCCTCCTTTCAGCAGAGCCAGGCAGGGAGAGGACCTGAACGCAGCACCCGGACAGGAGAGCCTCAGTGGTAATTCTGACCGAAACAGAGATGCATAAAAATTGCTCGGACTTGACGTCATTCACAATTCCTGTGTAAAGCATTACAGAATCCTGGACCTTTATACACCGTCAACCTCCTGTTATCCTGAGTATGTCAATTAAACAGTAATTTCTTCATTAAGAGAATAAAAGGTTTATCATATAAAGAAACATCCATATTGCAATTATATTGTTTTACAATTGCACACAGAAGTACAGGTGTACATTAGAAATACAATGTCTGCATATAACCACTTATGTACATTGGCAAAGTAACGCCTCGCTTTCTAGCCCGGGCAGCCGACGAAGAAGCAGCGGTTCTGCCAGGGCCGCCTTTGCCGACCGGGGGAGGAAAGGCATCCATGAAGAGCTGCGGAGGAAGAAACGCCTGGCTTAGGACTGCTGAAGATCGGCTTCACGGCCGGCCACTTCGCTTGGGGGCAGGGAAAGGGGGTCTCGGGGCCCGAGAGCCTCCTCCATTGGCCAGGGACAATGACTTAATACAGGTTTTCTTTGGAGTGAAGTTTTCCCGCTGTAGGCACTAGGAAGAACCAAGGCAAAAAAGCAGCCCTTAGCGTCGCATGTGGCCCATCTGGTAGCTCTCTCGGGGCCTCTGGCGTGGAGGGGCCTGAGTCGCTGGGGGGGGTCTCCTCCGCTTCAAAGTGCCTGCAGGAAAAAAAAAAAAGGGGGGGGAGAGGCACGTTCAGAACCTGCTTTGCCCGGCAAGCTGCCCCCTGCACGGCTGCCCCCCCGATTTGCTGGCTGCGGCGCAGCAGCCGTAAGCCAAAGCTCTGGGAAGACCACAGACCCGTAAACAGAAGCAACTGTCACAAAGAGGCGGGGGGGGGTAGCACAAGACACATTTCCAACCCCCTGCGGCCGACCTGTAGGACACACCCCGCCCTTTCTACTTGGTGCCCTCCTCCCAAATACCCGCTTGCCTGGTGGCTCAGCTACCCCCCCCCCCCCCCCCCCCCCCGCTGTTTCCACGGGGTCCCTCCTCCAGCCCTGGGATGAACCACCCGCGTTCCTGATGCAGATCACACCGGAGGCCCTCTGGCTCCTCCCGGGGGCTCTTCTTCTTCTTCCTCTCCCAGCCCAGGCTGTGCAGGGCACGCTTTCACCCCATGCCCCCAGCGGGAGTTCCTGCAGAGCTGGCCAAAGCCTCACCTGGAAGGGGTTTGGGTGGCGGCAGCTTTGGGTTGCTGCTTGGGGTGTGAACGCTGCAGATCTTAATGAATCCCGCCATCAACATGATGAGCGCAATGCCCATGAGCAGGACGGCCCACCAGTGCGCCTGGAGTTGTGAGACAGAACAAAAAGGGTTTTTTCCCCCCATTTTTTCCCGGGCGCTACGAAGGCCCCAGGCACAAAGAGGAAATGTCGCCCTTCAGCCCTGAGGGGTCTCCTTTAACAGCTTCTTTCCCTCGGGGGGCATCCTGTCCACGCCCAGCCACTGTAGAAGGGGCTTGGATTGATTGATTGATTGATTGATTTGTAAAATTTATTGGCTGCCCATCTTATCGTGGGCAGGCAACTCTGGGTGGCTTAGTTACACAGACAGTTGAAAGATAACAAGCTGAAATCTTGCAACCGAGCCTCTTGCTTCAAGAGGGACCTGGCAGGCCCATCCCGTCAAGATGGGATGTTGCCGGCCAAGAGTGCCTGACTTGCTGCACTTGGCCGGACTCTCCTGAGAACAGGGGAGTCACGGGGAATGCAGCCGTGGGGGGGAGTTGGAGGGAGGAAAGGCAGAGCAACTTTGATGAAAACAAAATATTGCTGCAGACGCAGATGGAAGAGGTGGAGGCCTCCAGAAGAACAAACGGAACTGAAAACACAAGGGAGGAAAAGCTTTGGGATAAACCGAGGAATTTTTGGGAAGAGTATTTCAGAGATGCTATTTGAGGCGAGAGATTGAAGCAGCTGCTTGCGACAAAGGGACCCTCCAAGACAAAGGTAGTCAAGAGAAAGTGACAGGTGCTCTGACAATGTTGAGAGTGCAGGTATGGCTGCAGGTATGGCTGATGTAAGTGGAGAAATGCTAACATGGGCTGGGGAGTGCTTATGGGGGGCCTGCGTGATTTGCTCAATGTATGCAAAGATTCCCTTTGTCCCGAGAACCGGAAGAATGCTATTGTTGCTTCCCAGGCAAAAGAAAAACTAGCCAGGGAATGCAAAGAATGGGAGTTCTGGAGTGAATGTCAAAAAGCAAAAATGGCAAGCTGCCAGAGACACAGCACGGTGCAGGTGTAAACTCCTTTTTGCTAGGTTCCCTTGTCTCAAATCTTTAATTTCTGTGACCTACTAGATCTACTCTCTGCTGAACTTCCCTTAACCCTGAGAGGGGAAATTGTGCTTGGGATGCCTGCAACGGTCCTTGCAGGGCACCCT